GTTAGGGGGTAGGGGGTAGGATTGCCTCAGCACCTTTTCTCCTACCGTTCCTAACTTCCTACCAGAGGTGAATTGCTTCCTTCTGCATCTCCCACAGGATTAGTGACCTTAGAAACCATAGCAACCAAGTCTTGCAAAAGAAATATTATCTTCCTCACATTAACATTAGTTCTCTTCCCTTTTTCTAGATTATATTTCTTAAAAAGAAAAAAGAAACAGGACCTGTTTTTCCTGACCGCCACTGCAAATTTGCACTAATTGCGTGATGAATTATGATAATGTGAAAGAATCTAAGCGTCCACCCAAAAATTTTAAGGCAATGGGTGGAGATCCACTATCTTTATAAACCACTTTGGAAGCCCTTATACTACCTATTTGGGAACACTATATAGCTCAATATTCAATACTTTTTCGCACATGTAAGATTCACACATAAACTCTGGTGCGGACTTACTAGTGAGAGAATGGGGATTACCCGACGTTGTGTTTGATACTATGTGAAACTCTATCCAACTCAAAACCTTAAGGTTATGGGTAGAACATGTAAAAACCTTTTTAAATTTATTTGGAAGCTCTCACTATCTGTGGGACAACTTATATAACTCGACGTATAACGTAAATTTGCTTTGTTTCTCTTCATTTTCTTCCACTTGTCCTCCTATCAGACGTTGAGTTTCCTAACTTTCTTCGAGAAGGCTGAGATATTAATTTTAAAGAGTTTTCATATGTTAGAATTGCAGCAAACTGTTATTGACTTGACATTTTATTTTAGCTGCTTCTCGTGGGTCTGGGAAGCATCCGCAACTACTGCCTTCAACTCCAAGGTGGGCTGTCGCTAATGGTGCCGGTGTCATTTTAAGTGTTTGTGATGAGGAAGTTGCTCGCTACGAGACTGCTACCCTGACTGCAGCCGCTGTTCCTGCACTTCTGCTTCCACCTCCAACGACGCCTATGGATGAGCATCTCGTTGCAGGACTGCCAGCACTTGAGCCATATGCACGTTTATTTCATCGGTAAGACTAAAAGCATGATTTAACTTATTTTATAGGCTTTGAAACAAGGAACTCATTTTAACTTCTGTTTCTGGATTAGATATTATGCAATTGCTAGTCCAAGTGCCACCCAGAGGCTTCTTGTTGGACTTTTAGAAGCTCCACCATCTTGGGCTCCGGATGCACTTGATGCTGCCGTACAACTAGTGGAACTTCTACGAGCAGCTGAAGATTATGCATCTGGATTGCGTGTAAGTTATAAATTTTTCCTTCAAATTATCATGAACAAGATTATGTGAGCATCAATCTGATATTTATCCGAACACCTTAGCCACTTTTGTTCATTTCTGTGTTTTCTTCGTGGTTCTTTGTACAACTGTAAGGTTCTATATTTTAACCATCTATGCCAGAACACATGATTGAAATGTTCAGTATGAATTGTATATAAACTTGTCCCAAACTACTATGCTCTCTAGTTCTAAATGAGCATATCTGTACACACAAAGAATTCATTGGTTGCAGTCTCACTATATGAC